CATATAATTTCCTCTGGGTAGGTAGGCGGCAGGCTTCCAGAGGCCCGGGTACTGGGAGCTACACATCCAGAGAGACTATTTCAGAAAATCAGCCCATTCCCAGGGCGATACTGATTTTTCTTTTTCTTCTGTGGTGGTGCAGGTATGCCAGACTTCAGGAATGGGACAAGTTTCACATATTTTCCAAGACAGCTAAAAATCTAGTGCCAAGAAGAACCCCGATGGCTCTTTACTGTGAAGGGATCAGTAGATACATGGAGGGGCAAGTTCTCTACCTTCAAAAGCAAACTGAAGAGCAATCTGAGAATGCTCAAGACAGTGGAGTTGAGCTACTCAAGGTGAGGCTCATTCTCTGGTTTCCGGGATAAATCACGCCTTAAATGGATTTCTACCTACCTCCTGTGATAATTGTTTTCTCGGATTACAGAATGTATACATGTTTATAGTACAAGTTTGTGAAGGTAACCCTTTCCCCAAATTAGAAGAAAATATAAATTGCCCATAAACTTACTACTCAGAGAGAACCACTTTCTGTGTGTGTGTGTGAGGAAGGTTGGCCCTGAGCTAACATCTATGCCAATCTTCCTCTATTTTTTTGTATCTGGGATGCCACCACAGCATGGCTTGATGAGTGTTGTGTAGGTCTGTGTCCAGGATCTGAACCCACGGATCCTGGGCTGCCAAAGTGGAGTGCGAGAACTTAACCACTATGTCACTGGGCCAGCCCTGAGAACCACTGTTTACATATTGAGACATCACTTTTTAAGTTTTTTTTGTGTGTGTGTGTGTGAGGAAGATCGGCCCTGAGTTAACATCTGCCAATCCTCCTCCTTTTTGCCGAGGAAGACTGGCCCTGGGCTAGCATCCATGCCCATCTTCCTCCACTTTATATGGGACGCCTGCCACAGCATGGCCTGACAAATGGTGCGTCGGTGTGTGCCCTGGATCCGAATCGGAGAACCCCGGGCCGCAGCAGTGGAGCACGCACACTTAACCGCTTGCGCCACCGGGCCGGCCCCTCAAGTTTTTTCTATATGTGTGCATGCATTTCCATTTTTTTTAACTTGCATTAAATAAAATACAATTTCCTGTCATTAAATTGCTTTCTACACCACTAGTTAAAAGGAAGCATAGTATTTTATTGTACAGATATACTATTAGATTACATTGCCAAACTATTCTTGGATAGAACTTTTCTGTAGTCTTTTACTGCTATGCCTGTAATAGACATCTTACTGGATAAATCTT